TGCCGGGGTTTGGTGAAATCCGGAAGCTATGCGCACGAACCAACCAAGACAAAAATCTTGGCCGGGGACGGAACACATAACCACGGAATCGGCAGGCACGGAATCAACTAAGAGACCGGCCCACCGAGAGTGATGTTTCATCGTTCTCGGGTCGTTTTGTTTCCAGGGTACGACAATGATCCTTCCGCAGGTTCACCTACGGAAACCTTGTTACGACTTCTCCTTCCTCTAAATGATAAGGTTTAGTGAACTTCTCGCGACGTCGCGGACGGCGAACCACCCACGTCGCCGCGATCCGAGCACTTCAGCGGATCATTCAATCGGTTGGAGCGACGGGCGGTGTGTACAAAGGGCAGGGACGTAGTCAACGCGAGCTGATGACTCGCGCTTCCCTGTTGTTTGAGTACTTGATATCTTTATTCGGCGGAGAATTGATCGAAGACATGATTGACTCGATCTCCAAGTTCCCCCCCCCCCTGAGTTTCTCTCTGTTGTGCAAGAATGAAGAAAAAAAGGATTCGGTCAAAAAATTTGACAAAACAGCATCGTTTCCATATCTAAATAACGTATACTCTACCTAAGGCGTATCACAAAAGTTTACAACAATACTGAATACAACCTACTCCTAAACGTTTGTACTTTCTCTTTGAATCCTATAAATCTGTGTAAATACATGAAAGCAAAGCAAAAAAAAAAAAATGTACTTAATTAGTGACTGACAAACCTCCCAATGGCATTATCGACTACATTTAAATTATTTTCAGGGTGATAAGTTGTTACATGCTAAGGTTCTTATGTGGGTGTTACAAGCTAAGGTTCTTATGCGGGGTTTAATAAGGGTTTGTTTAGGGTTTACTTAGGGTTGGGTTTAGTTAGTGTTAGTTTAGGGTTTTTTATGGTTAGTTTAGGGTTTAGTTAGGGTTAGTTTAGGGTTAGTTTAGGGTTTAGTTAGGGTTTCGGGCTGATTATAGTAAATCTTTCATACATCATTAAAAACCCAAACTAGTGTTTTGTCACATAAATCCGTAAAAAAAAACAAACTTTTTTTGTCACGTAAACCAAAGAGAGTTGTGTCATCAGCTGAAAAACCAAACTTTAACTTAAAACCAAACACACATAATCAGTCTTCTACTAGGTCGAATACAATAGATGACTCAAAATTAAAAGGCACATATTGTGTCATCAACTCAATTAAACTGAGATCAAGTCCAAGGAGTTGGCATTGGAAATGTTTGAGTACATATGCCCCGCAATAACATAAACTCTTGTTCAATCTAGCCTTCAGAGGTACCTCTACGATAGAATACTTTTCCAGGAGTGGATACTTCTTGTTTTCAGGTGGTGCAACAGCCTTTACTATCCTGGGAATTATAACAGCAAACTTCTCCACGTATTGCCTATTCCTTCCATGCAAGCACTCAAATACTTCAACTGTCTTCTCAATGAAATTGACGCAGACATCTATCCAATGATTATGCATTGAAAATTGCTAAGTCTTTTAATACGGGGATCTAAATGAAGACCTATAAAAAATGACCATTGAATATTATCTCCGACAAACAGAGAAAAGTAGAGACAATCAACATTGTCACCCCATACTTTATTAGTCCACCCATGAGATGGAAATTCTCCTCTCTCGTAAGCTAGAAGAATATCGCCTAATACATAGCCTCTTTTGTTACCTGTAAAGCGGAGGTATGCTTTCTCAATTTGAAGGAAAAAATAGGCGGGCATGAAAGCAACACTGTCTGGTGTCCAATTCCTCAAAGAAGTCTTCACTCGCCATATATACATGAACGGCTGAGGCCTGAGAAAGGTCTTCTAGGCCTTGGGTATCTATCCCTACGTCCATATCTTCTGCATCAATCAAATTCTCATCATGTTAATTGAATATAAATTATTAAACGCTGGTATGATAACAAGTACACAAAGTACATTAACACAAACATAAGCATAGTTTATCTAGGCATTATCTTACACATAGTTCCATTATCTTACCTACCAAAACCAGTTCACACACCGAATTACATAAGCATTGCCTAAATATATTACACACAGACACACAAATCATCTAATAAACAAGTCACAATAACATTTGAGAGAGAGTGGTGAAGACTAGTGTTTTTTTCCCATGCTTACCAAGCGATTTGACCTCCTCGACGATGGCTTCATAGACGTTGTATTGCTAGTTGTCTTGCTAGGAGATGCCTTGGTAGACGTTGTCTTGCTAGTTGAAGGTTTGTTAGGAGATGGCTTGCTAGGAGATGGCTTGGTAGGAGAAGGCTTGGTAGGAGATGGCTTGCTAGGAGATGGCTTGGTAGGAGAAGGCTTGGTAGAAGATGGCTTGCTAGGAGATGGCTTGGTTGGAGAAGGCTTAGTCACCGAGGGCCATACTTCTGCAACTTCAACGGTTACATCCTTAACGGAACCTTTAAGCTCAGACTGAAGTTTCTCAAATCTTCCACCCATCTATACCTATAGCCTCTCTTCCATTGCAGAAAAATTCTGCTGAAACAACAAGATCACAAAGCTCTTCATACCCTCATTAAATGGCGCATGTTTGGCGCTAGTACAGAGAACTTTTTGCTTCTTTTTTTTTCCATTCCACGATCTGGGAGCCTCTTCTTTCCCTTTCTACCTCCGAAGCTTGTGATCGCTGTTCATTTTGGAGTTTGAAACACTTCATCACTCCCATCTTCTTCATCATTCTTGGGAGCATCTTCATCATTCTTAGATGCTTCATCATTCTCAGATACTCTATCATTCTCAGATACTCCATCAGCCTCTTCTTGTTTGTCATGAGCCCCAAAAGAAAACTCTGGTGTCTCTTCGAACTCCAAAATATGAGAAGCCATCTAACACGTAACTGATAGTCTTCTCCTTCAGTTTTTCACAAGCTTTACCTATTGACTCGCATAGAAGGTCAAAAGCAGCAACTCCCCAAGGATAGTTTCGAAACTTCTCAAGATACATGACCAGCTTCACATACTTGATGGTAATATTAGCATTCTCATCTCAGCCGCAAACCATAGTTACAATGATGCACAGATGCACCAGTCTTATTCGATGAGCATTACTCAACTTCTTAACATCTTGCTTGTGCTTTTTCCACAGGTCCAAAATACAAACTCTCTGTTTGTCCTTGCCACTGTTCTCCAGAAACCACCATCATCTTCCCATTCAACCAATCCCTTACGTGATAGGCTAGTATTGCACTGAATCCTGGTTACTGCGTGGAACTCTAACAATGAAACTCGGAGTGGTCTTCACTCAAAGGAAAACCATAGCTCATTATTTTTATAAGTCACCAGCTCCCTACACAAGAAGCTGTGTATCACTCTCGCAGAGTAACCCAAACCATTCTCGTACAGCTTAATAATCTAAGCAAAAGGCGGAACTTTCTTCACATCTTTCAACTCCTTTGGCAGCCATCCCTTAAACCTATACATATAACATACCATCATGCAGTTGTTATTGATCTGAGTCACTTGGGTCTCCTCACCCGCTTCAAAAAGCCGCTTTGGTAACTCCCCAGATATACCTACAATCAAAAATATAATAATGTAATGAGAGCACAAACAAAGAAAAAAACACAATGTGTTTTTACTTGTACAATATGCGTAATTTTAAAGACATGTTCCACCTATTACTAAGATTTCACAGAACAACATTACATTCAGACAACGACAAAAACTAAGCTCTCAAGACTACCTTCATAGAACATTTCTATATGTTTAACATGAATATAAGCTATTTTTCAAATTTTCCCTCTTTCAAGCAAAACTAAATAGATACTCTACAAATATAAATCAAAAATATTAACATGCATGACTAAATCGTAGTCGATAAGAAGCTTAATCAACTCATATAAGTAACTTTTAGTTTAGCAAATCAACCAAATCGGGTCTAACAAATAAACCAAATCAGGTCAAAAATATTAACATGCATGACTCAATATGACTCGATAGCTTAATCAACCCATACAAGTAATTTTAGTTTAACAAATAAACCAAATCGGATTTAAGAAATCTAGGGTTAACAGAATCAAAAGAAGTAATCGCAAACCTAGTGAGATTTTGATAAGAACCTTGAGACAGAGTGTGAAGGGACCCTCTGACAAAACTCGTACTTGGAAGAAGAAGATCGGATGAACGAAATCGGTAGAGGAAGAACAAATCTATTTGATTTGTTTCTGAGAACAAAGATAATAAGAGAGAAAAACAAGATTAGAGAGCAGAAAATCGCTGATAAATGAGTAAGAGGAGAAAGAAGAAAGACTTACCCTAAATCTCCATTATTGCCGTCTGAAGGTTTCGGGGAAGAAGAGAAAGTTGTAAAATTAGGGTAAATGTAAAACAGTGCGTTTTATCCCTTTAACATTTTACTTTTTTTACTTTGTTTTTTTCTACTTTTTCTTTTGTTTTATATATTACGAAATTCAATTTTAATTATGTAAAATAAGGGGTATAATGGTATGTAAAAATATATAAGTCCTAGTTAACTAAAAAAATCTTGTACAGATCTTACTTCCCCAAATCATAGTTCCAAATGTCTCTTTTTTCCAATTTTCCCTTAAAAGAAAAAAATTTATAGGAAAGTTTTTGTGAAACTATACTTTTATTTCATTTTTTGAAAAAACACTTTTATATTTAAGTACAAAATAATATTGATATATTTTCATATAATTATTGATATTTGCAAAATAAAACAAAATAAAATTTAATTATTAATTTGTTTTGTTTTACAACAATACTATTAATATATTACAAAAAATATATTACTAAAACATGTTTTACTTATGAAAATAAATCCTAAAGCATTTATATTTCATCCAATGTTTCTTTGTTCTCTACTTTTTTATATCTATTATTTCCTCTAATTTTTATTTCTGGTTATTTTTTCTTTCGCTAAATAACATGTTAGTTTTATATTTCAGGTTAGCAAATAAAAACATATTTTAAAATATTTTATAACAAATTCATTTTTTCCTTTTTTTTTACCTTCTTGATTTGTATTTATTATAATATTCACATCATTTATTTTACATGTTAAGCATACTAATTTGATAGGGTTTGAATGATATTTCTTTATTCGTGCAAAAATTCAAACCCGTTAATTTTTATTTGGGCATCCAAGTACACACTTGAGTACGAATCGTTTTTTATATCGTTTTTTTAATTTTAAAATTAAAATCTATTTACATATTATAAACTTTTGGATGGGGTTCAAGTTGGATCCTTTTGAATCTGGTAGGTTCGTAGAAACCTAAAAATACCCAAATAACACATAAGTTTAAAAATATCATTAAACAATTTATAAAAAAGTAAAGTTTAAAATCCAATTTGTTTCGCTCGCAAGTCAAACTCTATGTATTATTTTCATCCTATGTAATTATTCCCACAAATGTGTAGTTACTATAAAATTTATTTACTAATCATTCATTTTTGTTCCATGTTCTCTATTGTGTTTATACTTAGGTGTAAGCCTCCATATTACTTCATCTTTCCTCTTAATTTAGAAGTTTATCTTTTATAATGTAGATTTTGATCCATGTTTGGAACCGTGCTAGGTGTTGGTCGGGCGGTTGGGTTGGACCTAACGCCTAGAAAGAAAATCGAGGATTAATCGAGAATTACATGAAGAAAAGTTTTCAGATTGTTTAATATGTTATACAACGTGTTAATATTTAACTGATTACAATATTAATATACTTTCATGTTTAAAATTGTAAAAAACACACAAATAGAAAATATAAACTTAAGACAGTATAAATTTCACTAAAATTATAACGTATATGTTGCACTTATAAAATTTTAAGTCTAATGAATAAATGAAAATGTTATTAAAATAATTAGAATAAAAACAATTAAAATAGATTAAACAGTTAGGTGGCTTAGGCAGACTAAGATCGGACATCCGATTTGTTACACTGATTTGATCTAAACCTTAGCGGATGAATTGTGTCTAGTGTCTAAGTGGATAAACGCCTGATTTTTAGAACATAAATTTCTGCACTTATATGTTTCCAATCATTTTTCTATTTTTTAATTATTTTCGGTTTTTCTCTATTTTTGTCTTCAGTATTAATATAGAATCTTAATTTGTCAACTAATCTCAAGCAAATAGATAAATACTTAAAATGATTCAAGATCTTTCCTTAGCATCGTTAAACACCTCTCACTCTGCTGATATTGTAAGTCTCACTAATCTCTGTTATGTTCACTTTAATCACAAAACATTAAAATATGAAGTTATTGCACAAACACCATTTTCTTCCTTACTTGTTTTGCTTCTTTATTACAAACTAGAATCGGCCCGCCTTACGGGCGTGATATAATTTATTTGTTATTTAAATTTTTTTTTTCTAATGATTTTGTGGTTTATATTTTAAGTTTTATTTGCAAAAATGTGTTTGATAAGAATTCTTTATCTTTTATAAAGTTGTAAGTGAGGAAAGATTATATGTTATAATATATGTTT